TTGTGGTTGTAGTTTGGAGATGCAGGGCAGGATGGAATTCAGCTGAGCTTGGCTTGTTGGGAGGAGAGAAAATAATTAATTGCAACAAATAAAACTAAGATAAGGTCTTAGACAGATACAGGTGGCAGTGGCCTGGTCCATTGCATCAGCCAGCACTAGTTATGCTGAGCATCTATCTGGCTGCTGGAAGAGTGCACTTCATCCAGCACTGCATTGCATGTGTTCTATGATTTGCAGGAAGGTTATTTATGGTGTTTGAAGGGAAGTCTTTGGAAGGGAAGTCTCATATTCTGCCATTTTCTCTTGCAGACCCAGATAACTGAACAGTCTTCCTCAGCCAAAGATGGTAAGTTACATGCTTTCTTTGTCTTGCTTTCAAAGAGTTCAGTACCAGACTGATCCTCATGCTGTGGAGGGGAGTGTGCAGCTTCCTGCATTAGGAAGCAAGGGCCAGAGGATGAAGAACAGAGACGGTGTCCTCCCACTAGATTTGTAGATGTTTGTGGTGTGCTTTGGGAGTGTGATCACCCTAAAATTTATACCTAACAATATCTAGTCCTTCAAGAGCAGGGGTGGGCAGTTATTCGGGCCCAAGGGCCATGAAGAAAGTTTTTGGTGAGCTGTCATAGGCCAGATCAGCACCCTCCTCTTCCCAACTGCAACAGTTCACAACTCCCTGTGTGGCCTGGAGTGGAATCTGTGGGTGGCTGGGGCTGGGATCTTGGTGCAGTGACGCAGCAGAGCCAGGACAGTCTCGCAAACTACTCCCCACATGGCCCTACAACAGGCGTGGGTTCTGTGGGCAGGGGCATGCATGCAGGGAATGTATGGTTGTTCTGCCCTGGCCCTATGCTGCCACTGCCCTATGATCCTGGGGTCTCTGTGGAGACCAGCCAGGACCCTTGTGGGTAGGGCAGGATGGGGGGTAGGACTGGCCACATGTGCCATGGGCTGGGCAGGACCAAGGGACCCATCGTGAGCCAGACAGATTCCCTTGGTGGGCCGCATCTGGCCCACAGGCTGTATTTTGCCCACCCGTTCTAGAGACTCCTCAGTTCTCCAGGAACTAGAGAAAGCAGCCCTTTGAAACAAGATGAATTTGCAAAGCACGTCATAGGCCATACTCCAGTGCATTGCAGACTGCATTGGAGATAGGAAATCATTACAGTGGTTGAGTGAGAGGGGCTAGCCCCATATCTGTTAGCCCTGGGGCAATTTGGGTTTGAATACCAGTAAGGTTTAGTATGCAGCAGAGAAAGGGTAGCAGAGCAGCTGAATCATCTTGCTTTGGTTCCAGAAGACACAAGTTCAGGTGTCCCTAGACTCATGGTGAATGCTGTCCTGAGTTGATCTAGCTGTAAAGGGGGTATGGGTATGTGGTTTTGGGAGGGTGGGGGGTAGTAAAGGCAGCTGGATGTGAAGCTGCCTTTACTACATAACCATTAGTATGGAAGGAAGCTATAGAAATTGGTGTGTTTTAAGCATATTTCAGACTCCCCATTAGGCTTGGGTAGACTTAATTTGTGTGAAGGTTCCACAAATATGTGATTTAGAATATACTGCTAGAGGGATCAGTGCTTAGACTGAGGAATTCAAACTGATCTTAAAACCTACAGCTGGTTACAGAATAAGACTCCTGAGGTATAACTGCTCCCAGAACTTTCTCTAATTTTTTGGTAGTAATACTAGGATCTATTAGGACTTGTAAGGAGAGAGAGCAACCTTGGGACACTTGTCTATATGTAAACCTAAAAGTGGGGATTCCTTGGGGACCCTTTTCTGGGCATGATTCTAATTCAGTAATAGGGAGGATGGCCGCTTGGAGGATGAACTAGAGAATGCAGAAACAATTTGTGGGCAACATCAAACCGGAAAAGTTTGCCAGCTGTCTGGAGGATCAGATCAGAATTCAGAATAATCTTGATAAATTGGAGAAATGGTCAGAAATCATGGTGAAATTCAATAAAGGTACCTGCAAAATGCCACAGTTAGAAATCAACTGGGGAGTGAACACTTGCTGAAGCAGGAAGGAATCTGGGAAGTTGCATGAAATAAACTTCTGAGTCAATGATGCTGTTGCAAAAAAGCAACTGTAATAGTTAGACCAGGGAGGTAATGGGTTTTACTCAGAACATGGGAGCTGGCGAACTGCACTGTTTTGGGTAGCACTCTCGAAGAAAGATGTAAACAAATGAAGGATGTTCTAGCAATAAGAATTATGAGGGGTTTAGAAAATACGACCTTTGAGGAAGTTGAAGGTCTAGAAAAGAAGGCTGAATGGGGACATGTCTTGTAGAATGTAAAAGGCTGCTGAAGAGTCTGGTGATGAATTGTTCATCCTGTTGTTTTGGGAAAGGACAAAAAAGTGCAGCTTAACTTGCAGCAAAGTAGATTTATAGTAGATGTGGGGGGTGGATACTAATGAAAGCAGGGACATGCTGGAACAAGCTACACGTAGGTGGTGGAAGAACAGGCCAAACAAACGTTTGAGGATTGTCTCAGTATAGTGGATAAGATGGCCTCTTGCCATTCCTCCGGCATAGGCCTTTTGGGATTCTAGATTATTGTGGCTTGGGTCTTGGAGTCTTTCCAGTTCCTTGTCCTCTAAAATAACTGTAATTACTCTAAGTTTTATTTTCCTCACTAATACATTTTATCTCTTTACCTTTTCAGGTCTTGAAGTTGTGCCTTGCTTTCCACTCTGAAATTGGCTTCAGCCCTAACCTGCAGTCCTGTCACCTTGCACCCAACTACTTGATATTTAAAATGAATACATATAGCTTTGTAGCTAATACTGAATTATTGTTTCTGAAGTGGGAGGGGGGTGAGGGTCTTTTTGAAGTGAAAATTCGCTAGCATAAACTCTGATATGGCACTTAATTGTCTAGAGCTAAGAATTTGGGCCTTTTGCCCAAATTCACTGAGCTCTCTGAAGAGAGAGAGAAGCACTTGGGTACTAACATGATATGTGCATTGTAGACATTAGATATCTTAGTTAGGTTAAAGAACACCTGCAAATAACAATACAGGCTTCTTGCTACTTGAAATGATCAGTTACTTTAAAGTAAATCTTGGGATCAAGATCAAAATCCATGGATTTTATTTGCAATTTATCCATTCTGTGCCTAAGGCATAATAGCAGAACTTACATTGCAGACTTGAAAGACATTCAAGACTGAATCTACTTACCTGCATTGGGGGTGGGGTAGGTGTATGCTTAATTGCAGCACGTTTTGTCTTGTACATTATTAATAAAATACTATAATATTGTGAAATATGTTATTTATTGAGTTAGCGGCATCTTGTCTCACGGCACTGAATGCAGTGTGGTGCTCAAACCCTTTAAACTAGTGGTTCCCTGCCTTGTTGAAACTAGGCACTCTGGCTTTAAAAAAAAAAAAAAAAAAAAAAAAAAGTTCTTGGCTTTTGCTCGGTTTTTGACTACAACAACAAATAATAAAGGAATTCTTCTGTTTCGGGGAACTTTGGAAAGACTGCAACAGGACAGAATGTTTCTGATGTTATGGATGTGTAGGTGAAGTCTCTGAGCTTCATCTTCTAAATTAGGTGTACAAAAACATGAATGCAAATTTAGAAGTCTGTTTTCCCTAGTTCCCACATATCACCAGAGCTTACTAGCATTTAGGCTGGAGATGCAGCAATGGAATGTTACACCTTTAGAAACAGGCCGTTTCCTTTGAAAGTTTAAACAAAATGAAATCTGATGTGACCAGGAGCGGATCCAGGATTTCTGAAAATGGTGCAGGAGTAACAACGGATGCTACAGGGGTGGCTGCAACTTACACTGCAGGGGTGGCTGCGCCCTCTGCTCCCAGCCTCTGCCCCCATGACTGTGGGCAGACTTCATTTTAGCCCCTAAAACAGGTGAAAATCCCCTCTTCCCCCATCCTGCTCAAGGCAGCCTTTTTCTGCTTCCCCCTTCCCCACAACTCCCCCACTGCCACTGCTGCATTCTCCACTGCTCAGGGAGCTGCAGAGGCAGCCAGGCTGAGCAGGACCTGGGCTCAGCCAGAGGGGACAGTGGCAACAGCCTGGCAGGAGCAGGTGCAGGCAGGGGGATTCCTGTCCATCCCTGCTGCCCCTGTCCCCACCCCCAGCTGGGCCCAGCCCTGGCACAGCAGGCAAGAACAGCTTGGGCTTCTCACCTCCATCAGTGGGAAAAGGTGCCATTGCACTTCCCACCTACCTGCCCCTTGAACATGACATCTCTAATGAGGTGAAGCTCTGGAAAAGCTTGTTCTCATTAAGCTTACATTTGGGTGATTAAATTGAGCTTGAGGTTCCCCTTCAGTTATTTCATACAGGGATGTCAAACTCACTTCGGGCTCTGAGATGCATCTGGCCTGTGGGGTCCCTTGCAGGCTGGACTTGGTCTTGGTCATGGGGCAACAGTGACAGCAGCCACTGTGGGCATGGCAGCACTGGTGGTCATTGCAGTGAAGGTGGAGACTGGCTGCAGGCAAGGCAGTCACTTGCAGTCATGGAGGCTGGCAAGGTGGCTGCAGGCAGCCCATGGCTGTGTCAGACAGCCCCCACTCACTCCATATCCACTGAGGACCTAGGGGTCAGGATTTGGTGCCAGGCTACATGCCCCTCCTAGTCATGCCCAGCAGGCCAGGTATAGCAGCTGAGTGTTTTCCACCCCTGATTTAATGGCAGGAGCACTGAAATACTTCTGAAGGACAATGTGAAGCCAGCATTATTGTTACAGTATTGCCAGTCTCTAGCTGACCTTCCTATATAACCTTCTGACTTTCCTGATGCCCCCAGATGAGCTGAGTTTTGTACAGCACTTCTAAGATGTTAATTGTTGGCAAAGCATTATCTTAGTTCCCTTAGCCTCTCCCCTGTCAGCAGGCCCTGCTTGTTGGAGCCCCTCGCTAGAGGAAAGGGCAGGGGCTGCACAGCGCACGCTAACTGCCGCTGTGCCTCATGTCAGCTGCCACCTCCGTCTCAAACGGCCACGTCTGCTGCTGAATGGCCGCTGGTCTCCTTCCAGATCACAACCGCATCCTCTGGGTCTAGCAGACCAGTGGCCATCCTCTTCCAGCCTCCAGGTCTTTTACAGCTGCCCCTGCCCCCAGGCTGTGACACCCCACCGTCCCGGTCCTTGCCTCCATGCTGCCCGGTTCCAGAACCTTCCCCCAGCCGCTTTCTGGTGGCATGTCTCAGTAACGGCCCCCTCCACCGCCTCCTGCGTCCTCACACAGACACGCGGGCCTGGCCCCAGGCTCGCTGAGGCCTGTCACCTACGGGTAAAAGCTCCGCCATGGGCTCACTTAGCCTCGCCCCAGGGTTGGCCGGGACCTGCGCGGGGGAGCATTTACAGAAGTCTGCGTGTGCTTGGGGGGTGTAGGTGCCGGCAGGGGGTGTGCGCTGTGAGTTATGATGCCTTTGCAAGGGGGGTGATAGGTGTGCTTTGGGTATGTGTAGAGCAGAGCTGCTGGATGTTGGCCAGTGTCTGGCTCTGGGCTGTCTGACGCTCCCTTTAGCTTTATGCCCAGCAGCTCTGCACGCTGTTGCTGTCTCCTTCACTACGATGTACCGCTGTGAATTGAAGCTTAGCACGGGAGGGGAGGGAGCACAGAGAAGCCGCCTTGATTCTGGCTGCTTTTCCACCCTGTGGCCAAAGCGTCGTGGTGTGACCTGCAGGAAGGCTCAGAGCCGTTGTCACGGTTGATGCACCTGCTGCCACGGGCGGAAGATCAGACCTTGCAGGGCATCTTCCTCCTCCCTTTCCAGTGTGTTTCAGACAGAAAATCCTACACAAGACCAGGCAGGGAAGAAAGAAATGCAGCCCAATAAGCTGTCATAGGGGTGAGGCATTATAAGGAAAAGAAAAGGGGTAGCTGTAGGGGGGGGCGCGCGGGTTTCTTGTGTGAGCTTTCACCGAGCTGAGGACAGGAATGACTGAGGGCCCAGTACCTTCACTGTGAAACCCAGTGCAGGACTATTTCTTTATATTTATTAGGGCAGGGATTCCCAAACTGTGGCTGAAGATTGCATCAGTCTAGTTTTAGGACAACGGTGCATGGTGGTCTGCAATCAATTCTGAGAGCTGACAGTGATTATTAGTCCAGAAAGTTTGGGAGGCTCTAGATTAGGGCAACCAAGATACAAGATGTAGCCAGGTAAAATATAAGTACAGGTTTTGATTTTCAAATAAGACACTTGAATTTTGGGTCCCCAGGGTGAAGGTGAGGGTAGTATGTGAGACTGGGTCTTCTAGAGCAGTGTTTTTCAAGCTTTATAAACTCAAAGCATCTAGGGTGGCCATCATAGAGGACATTCCAGTTTTCTGCTAGTCTGTCCTCTGTCCTCTATTGCTATGAAACCGGATACCTTTACGTCCTCTATTTTTCTCTTGAAGAGAGGGGCCTCAATAGAGGGGCCTCTCTTTTCTTGAAGAGAAAAGTAGAGGGCATAAAGGCATCCGGCTGTGTATCAATAGAGGACAACCAGACTGTCCTCTATGATGGTGTCACAGGCCAGCTGGGCACCATGAATGTATCAGTTCTATCACAGGCCAACTGGGCACTGCGAGGGTATCAGCCACTGGGCTGTTTGGTTCAGTTTCGGATCGAGGAGGCAAAGTTGGGAGTGAAATAAAGGCAAATTTATTATAGCTTACACACACACAACAGTTAACAGAAAGATAAATATGATAAGCAGATAATGCAGTATTAAACAGCTAATAGTAAATAATAACAACAGATAATAACAACAGATAGATAGATCAATCTGTCGCAGGCCAGCTGGGCACTGTGAGGGTATCAGCCACTGGGCTGTTTAAAACAACAGACAGACAGACATGGGTTGGCAACTTATCGATAGTCTCTCAATGCCAGGTGCGTGCCAGGTGATTCCAGCGAAGTCAGGCGTCCCCGATAGACGCTGTTGGAGGGATTACCAGGGAAGCTCCCTTGATCAGGATCTGATCCTCACTCACACCAGGAGTCCGGGGTCCGGGCATGGAACAGCAATGACTGTTCTGTTCCCTCCTTTCTACTGGTCACCTGATGCACGCGCTTTTTATACCTAGTCTTATGCTAATCTGTTGGCTTTAGAGCCACTCACAATCTTACCCTATAGCTGTTACCCTGTGGGATTGAAAGGTGTTAAAAATTATCATAAAAGGTTACTACCCAGGCCTGGGTTTATCCAATAAGAAAATTACAATGCAGCACCTTTAAGTTTGAAATTGACATTGCTCCGCCTAAGCCCAACCCCTTTTAGGTTTCCCTGAATATGCTTTCTTGGGATGTGCTTTCCTGGAATGTGTTGGTGTGCCTGGCAGTTGGATTCAGTTTTTATCGTCAAGGCTGAACCCTGAGCAAAAACCGTTCGTTAGGTCAGCTAATCTTGCATCTACAGCTTTGCCTATGGGGCCCAGTCAGTTCCACGAACAGTTAAATTATCATTTTGGTTAAACTTGTCACAGACAAGTTACATTTGCGGGTTATGAACTTACAAGCTTTATATTAGCTAATATTACCTGTTTAGGCAAAATACCAAATGCCTCCAAGAAGCACATATTTATTGCTTATTAATCCCTCTGGTTCTGGCTGTCACAGATGGCCATCCTAAAAGCATCCCTTGTTAGACTGAAATCAATTATCAGAAAATGGCTGCAATTCTGCTCTGCAGAGCCTGGCTGGCAGTCGCAGCGTGGCTCTGGATGGCTTGGCTCCTGTTTTGAGTGGTGCGTGCTGCCCGTGTGTGTGCTGCTCTGCTTTTTCTTTTCCATGGGGACATCCAGGGGTCAAAAAAACCTGCGAAAAAAAGTGGAACAGCGCATGCTTGGGCAGCTCTCCCTTGCAGTGTGGAGGATATCTGAGTGTGTGGTATGTGGTGCCATAGACAGGTTTGCGGTGCCACATACTGCTCTGCTGCGCTCATGTGGACGTGGTCTAAGTGTGCATCTTCAGGTTGAATGTTACTGACAGCAGGCCTATGAGATCTCATATATTCAGGGTAAAACTTGCTCAGTAAGCAAACAGGATGGATTTCAAGTTGAGAATTGACCATTCCCTTAAAAAGTTGTGAGGCTTGCACAATGTGGCTGTCTGGTGATGTGAATGGAAGGAATTGTGCTTGTAGGTGGATGATTCGTAGGGTATACAATGCTCCATTGAGGCCCCTCTCAACAAGAGAGCTTCATTATAGTCCTTCTTTCACCTGTGATACTCATTTTATTGTCTATACATACTGTGATTTTATTTTATTGTCTATACATTTATCTGTGTCCTAGAACAGAGATATTTGTCCTAAGAATGGGAGAGAAAATGGGAATGTCATTTCAATCATTGGGATCTCATTTCAATCATTTTATCTCTAACAGGACAGTATTTGATTCCTCCAGTATGTCGTCGTCTTCTTCCAGCCCAAGTACCTCTTCTTCATCGTCAGCTTCTCTAAGCGAAAATGAAAGTAAAATAAACCTCTTATGTACCAGCTCATCTGAGTTGGTCTTACAGCCACAAAGTGAAGACTTTACCAAAGATTTGTCTTGTACCCTGTGCCTGGAATGGTTTAAAGATCCAGTGATATTGCCTTGTGGCCACAACTACTGTAAATCCTGCATTGAAGGCATTTGGGTCAAGATGGTAGTCTGCTCCTGTCCCGAGTGCCAAGCAGAGTTTCCAAATAAGCAGTACATTGCTAACTCTGTGTTAGGAAAGGTAGTAGAAAGAATCCAGGCCTTTCACATAGAGAGATTCCAGCAGAAATGCAGGGAACACTCTGAGCCCATTACACTGTTCTGGAAGATGGATGGGAAACTGGCGTGCTTTCTCTGCAGAGATTCCCAGAAGCCTGAAGATCAAAGCTCCCAATTCCTTCTCCTGTCAGATGCTGTGCAATTGTATGTGGTAAGGTTCACAGGGAATCAGGACTGAAACTGCTATTTTCTTACATTTTCCAGAGAGAGACTTTCCTGCTACAGAAACTTTGGAAAATGTGACACTTACACTGTTGCTAACTCTCACAATTTTAGTGAGATTATCTCCATATTTGGTGGTATTCTTAAAGCCCCAGTTCCTGGAATCCTGTGATTACATGAGAAACTCAAGGTGTCATTTAGAAGTAAAAATCAGCTTCTAGCCCTCATAGTTACGAAGCAGCACAAGTACATCCTGTTGGTTTCAAAACCAGAAGGCGAAGAAAATGAACTCTGCGTTTATTATTTTAAAACATTTTCATGATTTTTTACAAACTGTTCTCATAATTATGAGGGGCTGAGGCATGATTTTTGACTGATACTTTTGGTGAAACAGTACTGATAATTCAAATTAGCATAATTTTTGTGTACAAGGGAAAG